GACCCCCTCCCAGAGCCCACAGGACCCTCTCCCAGGGCCATTGGAGCCCCTCCCAGATCCCACGGGAGCCCCTCCTGGAGCCCGTCCCCGCCACCGGAGCGGAGCTGTGCAACGGGACCTCCGAGGAGGTTTTCTGGGAAGAGCCGGGGTTTGTCTGTGTCTGTTCCAGACAAGATGTGGAGATTCGAGCACGGAACCCCCCGGGCCCTTCACCTTGGTCTGGTACCAGGACTCGGCCTCGGCGCGGCTGCGGTTGGCGATGTCCTCGTACTGCGCCTTCACCTCGGAGATGATGCTGTCCAGGTCCAGGTTCCGGTTGTTGTCCATGGTCAGCACCACCGAGGTGTCCGAGATCTGGGTCTGCATCTGGGACAGCTCCTGCAAAGCGCACGGCGGGAGGTGATTCCTCGGGAGAGGCCTTTCCCTGCTCCCGGGCGAGGCGGCTGCAGATTGGGATCTGAACAGCTCAGGTGTGGCCCCAGAGAGGGAAAGGATTTGGCACCTCCCGGGGGGAGAAATCTGGGGCTTTCGGGGGAATGGGGGTAGAGGAGCTCTTAACGAGGGTTGGGGTGGTTTGGGACTCACGGCCTCGTAGAGGGTTCTCAGGAAATTAATCTCTTCAGTCAGAGCGTCTGCCTTGGCTTGTAGTTCCACCTTGTTCATGTAGGAACCATCCACATCCTGGGGGACGAGAGATTTTGGGGTGGGTTAGACCCCTACCAGCAAACCAGGAACAGGCACAGCTGCAGGAACGCTCCGGGGAAGAACCACAAAAACAAAAATAAAGGGGGCTGGAATACGAATGGATGGATCTACGGATGGGTTTGTGCCTGGCAGGGGAGTTGGAGCTCCACGGGCAGCCGTCCCTTGGTGTTCTGGAACGTTCCCTCACCTTCTTGAGCGTCACAAACTCGTTCTCGGCGATGGTCCTCCTGTTGATCTCATCCTCGTACCTGGGGCAGGGAGGCAGGAGGAGCATTTGTTTGGGCAGGAGCAGAGGGAGGTGATTTTACCTCGCAGGAATGAACTTCCTCAAGAGCGTTTTGCATACGAGGCTCTTTTCTCCCGCAGCAGAGACCACGAAGCCGAGCCAGTTAAAACAAGACATCAAACCCATCCGAGCAGATCCCTCATTTTCCACTCGTTTCTGGCCATTACTCATCCTCTCCTGCTGCTGATTTCAGCAAACCAAACGTGCTGCCCTGAAACTCCCCGTGCAGTTGTTTTCTCTCTCAGGAGGCAATTTAGTTAATAAGCCTTTGATCCTGCTCTAAATTACCCCCCGAACGTTCGGGGTGTTTGGATGTGTTACCCCGTTACTGGGAAAACTTCTCCTTGGGAAAATTCCTCCCAGAGGAAAAAAAACAAAACCCATCCCAGCTTTCCCTGCCGGGAATCCCTGGGTTTCCCTGGGGCTCCCCTGGATCCCCCCAGCTGGTTCGAGGGTGGGGAAAGGGCTGCACCCCCCAGCACCCCCAGACTTACTTCTTCTTGAAGTCCTCCACCAGGTACTGGGTGTTGAGCAGCTCCCCCTCCAGCCGCCCCTTGTCGCTCAGGAGGCTGTTGAGCTGCACCCTCAGGTTGTTGATGTAGGTCTCGAAAAGCGGCTCCAGGTTGTTCCTCACGGTTTTCATGCCCTGCTCCTGCAGGAGGCTCCATTTGGTCTCCAGCACCTTGTTCTGCTGCTCCAGGAACCGCACCTGGAAAAGAGGGGTGGGAAGGGGGGAGGTTGTGGGAGCTCAGAACCAGCTCGGGGTGGGGAGGTTGTGGGGGCTCAGAACCAGCTCGGGGTTGGGAAGGGAGGGAGGTTGTGCAGAACCAGCTCGGGGTTGGGAAGAGGGGGAAGTTGTGGGAGCTCAGAACCAGCTCGGGGTTGGGAAGGGGGGAGGTTGTGGGAGCTCAGAACCAGCTCGGGGTTGGGGGGTGGGTTTCTCCTTCCAGCTGATTTTCTCGGCCCACTTCTCGCCTGGCAGGGGCACAATTTGCTGTTTGGGGGCAGGGGCCCTGCTCGGTGCCACAAACCCTGGAACCACCCTGACTTTCTTGCCTGCCCTTCGTTGCTTTGCTAAATCGTGGATTTCCTGTGAGGAGTGTGTGCAAAATCAGATAAGGAGCAAAGCAGGGCTTGTTCTTTCATTAAAATAACGTTATTAAGGTGTGTTTTCTCCTTGCCTTCGTTAGAGTTCCCCCACCCCACTAAAGCTCCAAAATATTGCAGCGTTTTCCTCCGAGCCAAAGAGGAGCTGCTCGAGCAGAGCAGAAAGGGAGCAGATTTCTGGTTCATCAGTGAAATGGGCAGTGCTGGATCAGATTTTGACCTATTTTGAGCTAAAAACCCCCAAACATTCTGGTGCTGCTGCAGTGACGGATTTAAATGCCCTTGAGGGAATTCAAGCAACAGGAGCTGCTTCTCCCCTTTTGCCAATTTTTGGGGTCATTTTAGGTGGGTTTCTTGGTTCTCACTTTAATCAGCTGAAAATCTGTTCCCAGGGCTCAGTGGACAGAGGCAAAACTCTCCGGAAGGGCGGGATTGTCTCCTGGAGCTTCCCTTTCCCCGCTGCCCGTGGGACGTCGAGCAGCGGACGAGGAGGATTAAAGGAGGTGATTAATTCCTGGCAACCACGGGGTGACAGGTGCCATTCCCTGGAGTTCCCAGGGCATCTTCCAGCCTCATCCCTCGCTTCTATTCCTCCTTGATGTGCCCGTCAAGCGCAAAAAAACCCCCCCCCGGGGCGGGATATTCCGGGGAGAGCCCGGGTCTCACCTTGTCGATGAAGGAGGCGAATTTGTTGTTGAGGGTTTTGATCTGCTCCTTCTCCTCCTTCCGGATCCTTTGGATGTTGGGGTCGATCTCCAGGTTGAGGGGCTTCAGGAGGCTCTGGTTGACGGAGACTTCGTGGATGCCCCCCGCCGGGAAGGCGGGGTACCCGTAGCCGAGGTTGGCGGGGACGCCGAAGCCGCCCCCGTAGGCGCTCCCGGCTCCGTAGAAGCTCCCACCCCTTCCAGCCACGGAGATCTTCTTGCAGCCGCCGACGTTGTAGAGGCTCTTGCTGCCGAAGCCCCCCCCGACCCTGGCGAAGCCGCTGCCGGCGCCGCAGCCCCCCAGGCGGGTGACGGAGCAGGAGCTGAAGCTGGTCCGGCACGTGCCGGGCACCGCGGCCGAGGCGGCGCTGAAGCCGCTCCGGCCCCGCTGGATCCGCACGGTGGACTGGCGAGACATGGCCCGGCTGGGTTTTGGGATCGGGATTGGGATCGGGATGGATGGATGGATGGATGGATGCTGCGGTGGGAATAGAGGAGCAGAGGTGCTGGCCCGGAGCGAGGAGTGGGCGGGAGGAGGAGAGGGATGAACCTGTGCCGGGCACGGGCTGGGGAGAGCCCTTTTATGCCGGGCTGGGCTGGGTTGGCTGAGGTGGATCCCCCCTCTGATGAATTCGGCTTGGCATGTCCGACAGCATTCTGCAGGGTGAACTCACCCCGCACACACGCCCTGCTGAGACAATGCGGGCAGGTTCTCAGCAACAGGGATTGTTTGGGAATAACTGTCGCCTTCTCCTGCCTCTGGAGACATCCAGACTCGTCGCCTTCCCCGAGCCTTGGGAGGTGGGGATGAGTCACGTTGGGCACGGGGAGAAAACACCGTTCCGAGCCTGTCACTCAACGGCTCTGCCTCGGGAAAACTCCATCCCTCGGGAGTGCTCCCTGCCCTTCTCCTCTTCCCAAGCAGGGCTTGGGAAAGTCCAGACCCTGGTGCTTCAGGAGAGGGGTCGGTGCAGGGCAGGGAAATGTTGCACAGCCAAGCCCACAGAGAATTCTCCCTGCAGGAAATTCAATTCACTCTGCACTGAATTCCCCCTGCATTGAATTCACTTTGCAGAGAATTCTCCCTGCCCTGAATCCCCCCTGCGGTAAATTCACCCTGCAGGGAATTCACTTCACTCTGCACTGAATTCCCCCTGCACTGAATTCACTTTGCAGAGAATTCACTCTGCAGTAAGTTCACCCTTCAGTGAATTCCCCCTTCAGTAAATTCCCCCTGCAGTGAATTCAATTCACTCTGCACTGAATTTCCCCTGCCCTGAATTCCCTCCCTGCAGTAAATTCACTTTGCCGTGAATTCAATTCACTCTGCATTAAATTCACTTTGCAGTAAATTCACTTTGCAGTGAATTCAATTCCTCCTGCCCTGAATTCCCCCTGCAGTAAATTCACTTTGCAGAGAATTCTCCCTGCAGTAAATTCACCCTGCAGGGAATTCAGTTCACTCTGCACTGAATTTCCCCTGCCCTGAATTACCTCCCTGTAGTAAATTCACTTTGCAGTGAATTCAATTCACTCTGCAGTGAATTCACTCTGCAGTAAATTCACTTTGCAGTAAATTCCCTTTGCAGTGAATTCAATTCCCCCTGCCCTGAATTCCCCCTGCATTGAATTCACTTTGTAGAGAATTCTCCCTGCAGTAAATTCACCCTGCAGGGAATTCAATTCACTCTGCACTGAATTTCCCCTGCCCTGAATCCTCCCTGCAGTGAATCCTCCCTGCAGTAAATTCACTCTGCAGTGAATTCAATTCACTCTGCACTGAATTTCCCCTGCCCTGAATCCTCCCTGCAGTGAATCCTCCCTGCAGTAAATTCACTCTGCAGTGAATTCAATTCACTCTGCACTGAATTTCCCCTGCCCTGAATCCTCCCTGCAGTGAATCCTCCCTGCAGTAAATTCACTCTGCAGTGAATTCAATTCACTCTGCACTGAATTTCCCCTGCCCTGA